GAAACACACAAGGAATGATGTGATATAAACTTGCGTTATTTCAGCTCACATTATATGAACGTAACACCATGGAGGCCATCGGACTGGTCACAGGCCTTCTTCTGGTTCTTCTTGAAGGTAATTTGCCCTCAGTTGAAGTTCAACAGATAATTTTATACCAAAGATATTTATGAATAATGTCACGGGTTTATTTATTGCCGTGTGTTTTAAAAACTTTAATCATACATTTAAACTTATTTGTATAATCATCACATGTCCGGCGAGCTTCGGATAAAATATTATCAAGATACGATTTATTCATATCACCAAAGAGAAATATTTATATGTTATAATAATTTTGTAGAGTGTCTAATATCCATCTCAAAGATGCTCAGTGGCACTAAGGACATTTTTCCAAGCTGCCTGCGAGGCGACGGACTGTTAACAGTCAAAGATACTCTCCCCCCGGAAAAACGCATAGATGTATGCAGCGCAGGATAGGTACATTCGGGTAATTCATTTGCGGAATCGAGCTGCTACTGCAAGTGCAAGTGCAGTGCCTGGTTTGAGGAGAATCTCGACGCAAACCATTCGTAATCGTTTACGAGAAGCTGGACTTAGAGCCAGAAGACCCTATTTTGGCCCTGTGCTGCGACGATTACATCGACGTCGAGTGGTGCAATAATGTTCTGTTCTGGAATCTACAAAACTGGCGACGTGTATGATTCAGTGACGAATCACGCTTTCCGCTTCAATGCCGTGACGGAAGAATACTTGTCTATCAACGTCGAAGCGAACGTTTTGCCCAGAATTTTGTCGCCCACGTTGACCGGACCGATATGGTGGTGGGAGTGTCATGAAGTGGGGCGCCATATCCTACACGCATAAATTTAGCTTTGTGCGCTTTTAGGTCAATTTAACTGCTATTCGGTAGAGAGACGAAATCTTAAGGATTCACATGGTTCCGATCATTGGCCGCCAGTGGGAAGTGTTCCAGCATGATAATGCCAGGTCCCACACAGCACATGCCACTGTTCACTATCTTCAAAATGACAACATTACGGAGCTTTCAAGGCCTTCCAAATCGAACGACCTCAACCGCATCGATCATGTGTTCGACGTGTACGTGTACGTGAACGTCAAACGGCACCCGAGACGTTAATTAGATCAACTGAACTGTCGCAGCCATTGCAAGAGAAATGGGCCAGAATTCCACAAGGTCGAATTCAAAGACTTATTCAGCCCATGCCGAAACGGTGCAAGGCATGTTTGGGGGCTCGTGGTGGCCACAACAGATATTGAATACAACGCCTGACTGCCAACGGACCCCTGAAACGTTTTTAAAAAATCTGCTCCATTAATGCCGATAATCTCTGCAATCAGACAGAGTGGGCAGACATCGCGTAGCAGACGATAAAAAAGTAAACGAAGGGGCGTAACTGCTTCTACCGGTGTTAGACTGAATTTGCACCCAGTGAAATATTATCATACTGAGTTTCATGACGATTTATTGTCAAATACAGAGACACATTTAAATCGTACCTAACGGTCTGCACACTTTTCAGCGCAGACAGTGTTGCGAACTCACCTTTGGCAACTGACTGCATGTGCACAAAAATTTGAATATTTATTCTGTGATATTTGGCCTACCAGTCCAGAATTACATGGGTTTACACTTTAAAATCAGCAGATTAAGTTCGTGAAATCACACCTATGCGTTTCCTTTTGGGGAGAGTATGTAGCCAGTATATGCAACAAGGCGCCCATTCACCTGGCACAAACTCACTTTCCTCAGTTGAGGTCATCATTGTGGGGCAGGACTGAAGTCCTAGAAACCCTCAGGTGTCAAGCTGCCTTACACAGTCACCCAGGACCACACACCACAACATTTAGCACTCCTGCCAAATTCTCTTATGAAATGAGAACTTTTCACGTATAAAGTAATTTTCCTGCTATTATAATTCTGACTTTATTCGGCACATCTAATAGTTTACTGGGGCGGTGGGGTAGCCTAGTGGTTAAAGCGTTCGCTCGTCATGCTGAAGACCCGGGTTCGATTCCCCACATGGGTACAGTTTGTGAAGCCCATTTCTGGTATCCCCCGCCGTGATATTGCTGGAATATTGCTAAAAGCGGCGTAAAACCACACTCAAGTCAGTCAGTCAGTCTAATTATTTACTGATATGTTAAATTTTCAGATGTGAGGGCAGAGTTCTGTTCCAGTTACATGCCGTATTGTGAGAATGGTTGTTGCGGAAGCACTTGTTGTGTAGACAACATGTAAGTATTATACTATACTAGCCACATAAAGAAACTGTGCATTGTCAAAATATTATCACAGTTGATAAGTACGATAACAATGTCAAAGGTACATATAAACTCTAATGGAGGGATCATGAGACCATACATAACAAGTCGGGAGAACTTCAATTGAAAAGTCAATCACAATGACGTCACGAGTCCACAAGCGGGACAGGGGTCAAACGACCATGTCACAAGCTCAATAACGGGTATGTCCACCATCGGCGTTGAGAACAGCAGCGCATCGACGACGCATAGAGCCTATCAACCGTGCAAGGGAGGCTTGTGGGATGTCACGCCAGATTCTCTCAAGTTCTGTTGCAAGGTCAAGGACGTTATCTGGCGGATGAGGAAGACGGCGTAGACGTCGATCCATCTCGTCCCAAACATGCTCTATCGGGGAGAGATCCAGTGAATTTGCAAGCCAAGGCAGTGAATCAACATTGTGGTGTTGCAAGAAATCCATAGCAACCCTTGCCGTATGAGGGCGGACATTGTCCTCTTGGAATGTTAACCCAGGGCCATGACGTTGCAGAAAAGGAATTGCCACAGGTCGTAGAGTCTGATCCCTGTAGCCCACACCAGTTAAGTTGCCCTGAACAATCACCAATGGAGTTCTTTGGCGTGCTGTTATTCCACCCCAAATCATCACGGAACCACCACCAAAGCGATTCCTCTCCAAGACACAGGCCTGTGCATAACGTTCTCCCACGCATCTTTATGCACGTTGACGTCCATCACTATGGGAAATGTTAAACCTGGAATCATCTGTAAAAACAACATTTCTCCACCAAAACAAGGGTCTGCGGACATGACTTCGGCATCACATTCGGCGAGCTTGTCGTTGACGTTGTGTCAGGATAGGCCGTATGGCGGGACGTCGTGGTCTGATCCCGTGATGACGTAAACGTTGTCGAACTGTGTTGGGGTGGATACGACGAAGTCCTGGGATGGTTCGGGCAGTCATCACTGCAGTCTGAAACCTGTGGCGCAGATTGGTCACCCTTATCCATCTGTCCTGTCTTGGCCTGTTACACGTGGACGTCCAGAACGCAGCCGATCGATGACGTCATTTGTGTTCTTGTAGCGTCTCACCAGTGCAGAAATGGTGTTCCGGTGGCAGTGGAAATGTGCAGCCACTTGTCGTTGAGACATTCCCCCACGGGCCATCCCAATGGCCTCGTGGCGTTGTGCAGACGTGAGCCTTTGCAGCTATGCGTTTCAATAGCCGTTTAATTTTTTGAACGATCGCAAGGGCAGGGGTTGAGCTTTCCAAAGTGACAGTATTGTGTGGCACTCATTAGCTCTGTTTCTTTTTCCCGGAATGCACGTGCAACATCGTATTGCACGTCTCAAGGACGAACCCACTGACGTCACGGAAAGTGGCACGTGCATGCATGTTGGATATATGTCACTAATCTCTGAGTTTAAATCCTTATGTGTCTACACAGGTTTGATAAATCTAGATTTTAAATTTTTGTATGCACAGTTTCTTTATGTGCCTAGTATATATGATAATGTACGTTCTAACCATTCGTACTATTTGTACCGGGGCGATTTGAGTTGTTGCTCTTGATATCAACCGCTGGTTTGACAGGCCTCGATGTTACATATGACTATTAAAAGGCGTTGTTGATATTTCCAAACAAGGCATAATACGACAGCGATGTGAGCACGTATACAATGAAAATCTAGTAGCTCTCTTGTATTCAGGTATGACTGAATCAGCTGATCCGTCACCCCTGATGTATCACTGAATGACTAAACAATTATTTCAGGACATGTAAGTAGTGGTTAAGTGAAACACACCAGTGTAAACCTTACCGTAAAGATGAAGTTTTTACTGGTTAACTGTCTCTATACAACCCGTACCGCGTGATAGTAACACGTACCGTATACCGCATAGTAGGGGTGGGTATTGCAGAATTTTCATATTGCGATATATTGCGATGCAAAAGCATGTATAGCGATATGTATTGCAATATATTGCGTGAAGTAAAAACTACTTACAATCGAGGTAAAGCTTGATTTATAGAGCAAATACACAGCAAAATCACAATGCTTGATTAAGCTTTAATAACAACTTTTATTCATGATTAAAAATAAAAATGTGAATAATATTTGGCACAAATGAAAAAAAGGAAATATCCGAAGATTTCCGTGTGTTACGAAGTTTTCCGAATTCAAGTCAAAATACCGGTTTTCGATCAGCGTATTGCAATACGTATCGTTTTCATGTCTGAACCGGTAAATACCGGTAAACCGGTTATATTGCGCAGACCTACCACATAGGTTGTTAGTTTTAATATGACCAAACCTAGGGAGTTAGTGCTGGGATTTGGTTGATTGGTTTGCTACTTAATGTCACACTCATCAATATTCCACCTCTATGGCGGCGGTCTGTACATAATCGAGTCTGGACCAGACAATCCAGTGATCACCATCATGAGCATCGTTCTAATCAATTCGATACGGTATGTGTCAACCAAGTCAGCGATCCTGTCAACCCGATCCCGTTAGTCGCCTCTTACGACAAGCATGGCTGCTGAAAACAGTTCTAACGCGGATCTTCACATTTAACGCGATATAACGTACGTATAATTACACTCCTTCACTGATGATCAGTTTATCTTTTTCTTATCATCCTATTTGTCAATTTGCATTGTTCTGTATACACGAAATCAGATGCGATACAATACTAATAATTCGTTGACTTACAGAAACATTCCAGTCATCGTCGGATCGACTGTGGGTAGCTTAGCCTTCATCGTCATCGTCATCATTTCCATCTGTGTCTATTTGAAGAAATCAAATAAATCAGCCCGCACTATCGGCGATGACCCAAACATGATGGCAACTGCAGGTTTGTAAGCTTTCCTTAATACATTAGGACGTGTTATTGTGGTAAATACTTTCAAACGGGATTGGATGAAGTTTGGTTGGAAACACTGTGGGCTGAGGAGAACTGCATGTGTATAACGTGTCAAAGGAGGTGTATGATATATGTGTATGAAGGATGATATGCCACCTATTATGCTCTTGTATCATATGCAGTACTGTATTTGGCATTGTACAGATTCTTGTTCTTTTATTGGGCTGTGTCCCACCCGAGATTCCAACCCACACAATCAGAGTCAGGCACCTAATCCCCAGCACACAAAAACAACCATCTAACAACTTAGCCACGGCAGATTCCACAAATAAAGGAAGTCGGACATGTGGCAGCGTAGACGACGGACGGGGTGGTGGGTAGCCTTGTTGACGGACGCGGTGGTGGGTTCGCTCGTCACGCCGATGACCCGGGTTCGATTCCCCACATGGGCACAATGTGTGAAGCCCATTTCTGGTGTCCCCCGCCGTGATGTTGCTGGGAAATTGCTAAAAGCGGCGTAAAACCATACTCACTCACTCCTAAAGGCGTTTGTTCCGTGAATAAGTAAGGATTTTTACGTCACTTTTTGCAATATTCCAGAATATCACAGAAAGGGACAACGGTACTTATCTTTAAGCATTATACCCATGCGGGAACCGAACTCAAACATTCGGTATGACGATCTAATGGTTGAACTACTGTGTTGCCCCTTGGTCAATGATCTACCAGTAATTGTATTGCCCTCCCTATATACATACCTTGAACACTAACATGAATTCGTTTGCGCGTTGATAAGATGATAAGAGGCGAATGATTTAACTTCCGGGTTGTCCTGTAAACCACTCACTCACTAGACAACGGACTTTGTGTGTCTGATAAGTGGAAATTGGCATGGTTCCAACGATCGAAAGCTATGAGTACACAATGCCATTTACAATGTGGTCAAATGTAACACATGTATATTTGGGATTACACTTTCTCAGTAAAGTAACGATTCTGGTACTTTTACTATGCTCTTGTCAATTTCTGTTTTGTACCATACCGGCTGGGCTGGAAACTTTGACGATGACAGTTTAATTCAAGAATGTTAGAATGACCAGAATAGTTTGCCCTCGACAAGGTCTCACTGGGGCTCATGTGTTTGTACGTGCGTGCATGTACCTTTCTCTAAGGTTAGATATTTAGGTCAATTCCCTGAAACCACATCTTTTTTGGAAGAAGTAGCGTTATGTTTTTTCACAGAGATAATGATTATTTTTTTTCTCTCCCTGATTTTAGCACTTGCTGCCCAACAAGCTGGGATTTCACCCCAGATGGTCCCGCCGTTTGGATACAGTGCCTACCCCAGTCCGACAAATTATTATGGGATGCAGCCTAATCCTCTTCTTTCTTCCCCACTTTCTGCTAATCTTCCTCCTCCTTATCTTGCTCCTTATCTTGCTCCTGCTAATCATGCTCCTTATCTTGCTCCTGCTAATCATGCTCCTTATCTTGCTCCTCCTAATCTGACTTCTGCTAATCCAGCTCCTGCTAATCATCCTCCTCCTAATCCTGCTGCTGCTAATCCTGCTCCTCCTAATCCTCCCCCTGCTAATCCTCCTCCTAATCCCCCTCCTGAAAATCCTGCTCCTCCGAATCCTTCTCCTCAACAGGCGCCTTCCCCTAACTAAACAGTTAGCTTAGATGATGATTACAGCCTACCGCAATTGTGCACCCAGATATATGAAATACTTAGCTATACTGCTCAAAAGAAGTTAAAACACCCGATTCTGTCATGGTACTACACAAGGTAGCTAATGTGTCAGTAATTACCGTCAGTAATATGGAAGAAAAATGGCGTGACATGTTAATCTTAGCGATATGAAAGAACTGGGTGTACTTTATATTCACATATACGCTTCTTTGGAGATATATAAATTACACTTTGCAGACCAGTTAGCCTCAGATAAGTCCTCTTCTGTCTCTCTGTCTCTCTGTGTTGCTGTCTCTGTCTGTCTCTCTCTCTCACACACACACACACACACACACACACACACACACATACACATACACACACATAGTATTATTCAAGAGAATATTTTCCAAATAAGTGCAGCATTCAAAAGGGACTCATAAAATGAGTTAGAAAATACGACAAAGAGCAGTAAAATGGTGCTCTGTCAGGATCAGGTCCTTCAGCTTTTGAACTATGTGGGTTCTACCTGTCACTTCGGTGCCAAGGTATTCCAAAAGGTGTTTAATTGGGATCAAATCTCGTTTTGTCATTGTTAAATCACGTCGTACTCAAGTTAATGTTCATGTGGATCAACATATTTTCACTTCACATCAGCTGAATAAAATAAGCTTCTCTTTCAAGATGATTTTGTAACATGCTTTATACATTTAGAAAATACGCCTCTCTTTCAAGATAATGTTTTAACATGCCTTATTCATTTATTATAAGTGATTATCATAGCATCATATGTTTATTGTTCAAAAATGTTTATCCATATGGTTTGAGATACATGGAAAGGAAAAGTTTGTACGATTGTAATGTGATTTACAGCGTCGTCGACGTACCAGAGATAGCATTGTTGTCATGTTTAGCGACTTCACGTAGAGACAAGAGTCCATGTTAATGAAGTTCGATAGCAAAGGGCCTGAATGTGCTTTGAATCCCTGCTTCTTCGTGATCAGTCGGTATAATTATAATTCATGGATAATAAAGGTAGTGTCGATAATAAAGACTTGTGGATGTAGTATGTTTGTGTGTTATCTATTATCATTGGTCGTTTTAAAATAGACACAGCAAAGAGGATTCAGTGATGCTTGTAAAGTCTGGTTAAGCTCATCGCCAGCCTTCCTTTATTTACACGCAGCCCAGAGAGCGAATAGCACTTCTCCCATGAAGCACTGCCCAGTCGGACCCGCTGAGACGTTTTCGGTGCACAGGTAGAATTCCAAACACTGGAACTCAAAGTGTCAGAATGAGTGACTTTATTCAGCAATATTCCAGCTATATGACGGCGATCTGTAAATAAATCGGACCAGACAATCCAGTGATCAACAGCATGAGCATCGATCTACACAACTGGGATACGATGACATGTGTCAACCAAGTCATTGAGCCTGACCACCCGATCCCGTTAGTCGCCTCTTACGACAAGCATGGGCTACTGAAGATCAATCCTAACCCGGTCCAAAGTGTCAGAAGGGCTGTGGTGCTGGCAGCAAAGGTGTGTACTCTCGTAATGTCAGTCAAAAGATTAGGGTAGCAAGAATAGTTGTGGGGTCGGACAACTTGGTACTCGGGCTTCAAGCGTGAAATTTTGCTAGCGGGATCGGTATATGTGCCATGTTTTTCCAAATTCTTGTCGGTTATAATTGAGTCAAAAGCACAGAAACTTCAATGATACACATACTTTTGCTGGTTAACAAGACCCCCACAAAAAAATAATAAAACAAAATAAAAAAATAAAAAATAAAAAAATAAATAATTTAAAAAAATAAATAATAATAACAAAAAAGAAAAAAGAATTAAATCAAAAAAATCAAAAAAATCAATTAGGTTAATTAAGTCAACTTCATCATTCTCATCCATTGTGATTAGAGCTGACTGTTATAGCTTTTCTTCAAGAAGTGATGATGACATCTGCCACATTGGAGTCTGTGCTGGTGTGCTGATGGGTCGGTATAGCCGCAATCAGTTCGATCTCTGTACACAAAAAAATGTACATCTCTCGTGAAAAGGAAATTGGTCTACGACAGGCTGTTCAAGGAGAATCAAAATGTGGTGGGCAGGGTTTCACCAAATGCAAGTGCTGGAAACAGTTGCACGTTAATAAGGCCCATAATTAGGCCACGGCATTTCGCGAGACATTACGTTGTTTAGTACTTCCGGTGACAAACAAAGTTTCATACCTTTTCGAATGGTCTCATGGTTGTCAGTTGACTGTATGGAACCGATAATCCTTGCAGAAATAACAAATTTCCGATCTAACTATCCCCAAATTAGCCACATATTACGACTGTCAACAGCTGTGACATCCAGGATTGTCTGGTCCAGACTCGATTATTTACAGACCGCCGCCATATAGCTAGAATATTGCTGAGTGCGGCGTAAAACTAAACTCACTCACTCACTCCAGGAATGGTTGTACACTTGGTCCGGTCTAGTAAAGTCATATTTGCCGGTCGCTCAATTTCGAACCAGAACTGGTTCTTGAATATACGCTTGTCACCAGAAATTGGTAAATTTCATTGAGGGAGTTGTCCCAGCAAGATCATGCAATGCCTCACACAGCAAATACCACTATTCAGTAACTTAAGAATGAGAACATTACCGTGGTTGTTGTGGAAGCACTTGTTATGCAGACAACATGCAAGTATTATACTATGGACTAGTGGCTGCAGTATGTTTCCATGAGCCAGTCTTGTTGGTGAAAATACCAAATAACAATGTGCGGCCTAGCCAGTTGTACTATTTCTACCTCGACGATTTGAGTTGTTGCTCTCGATATCAACCGCTGGTTTGACTAGCCTCGATGTTACATATAACTATTTAAAGGGCGTCGTGGATATTTCAAAATACAGTGAGTGCTGCTGCTAAGCCTCCTCCCCCAAATCCCCCTCCTGATAATCCTGCTCCTCCTAATCCCCCTCCTGATAATCCTGCTCCTCCTAACCATCCTCCTTCTAATCCCCCTCCTGATAATCCTGCCCCTCCTAACTATCCCCTCCTGATAATCCTGCTCCTCCTAACCATCCTCCTTCTCCTCCTGATAATCCCCTCCTAACTATCCCTGATAATCCTGCTCCTCCTAACCATCCTTCTGCTAATCCCCTCCTGATAATCATGCTCCTCCTAACTATCCTCCTCCTAATCCCTCTCCTGATAATCCTGCTCCTCCTAACCATCCTCCTTCTAATCCCCTCCTGATAATCCTGCTCCTCCTAACCATCCTTCTAATCCCCTCCTGATAATCCTGCTCCTCCTAACCATCCTTCTAATCCCCTCCTGATAATCCTGCTCCTCCTAACCATCCTTCTATCCCCCTCCTGATAATCCTGCTCCTCCTAACTATCCTCCTCCTAATCCCCCTCCTGATAATCCTGCTCCTCCTAACCATCCTTCTGCTAATCCCCTTCCTGATAATCCTGCTCCTCCTAACCATCCTCCTTTTTATCCCCCTCCTGATAATCCTGCTCCTCCTAACCATCCTCCTCCTAATCCCCCTCTTGATAATCCTGCTCCTCCTAACCATCCTCCTTCTTATCCCCCTCCTGATAATCCTCCTCCTCCTAACAATCCTCCTCCTAATCCCCTCCTGATAATCCTGCGCCTCCCAATACCATCCCCCTCCTAATCCCCCGCCTGATAATCCTGCTCCTCCTAACCATCCCCTCCTGATAATCCAGCTCCTCCTAACCATCCTCCTCCTAATCCCCTCTTGATAATCCTGCTCCACCTAACCATCTTTCTATTCCCCCTCCTGTTAATCCTGCTTCTCCTAACCATCCCCATCCTCATAATCCTGCCCCTCCTAACATCCTCCTTCTAATCCCCCTCCTGATAATCCTGCTCCTCCTAACCATCTTTCTAATCCCCCTCCTGATAATCCTGCTCCACCTAACTATCTTCCTAATCCCCCCTGATAATCCTGCTCCTCCTAACCATCCTCCTCCTCATCCCCCTCCCGATAATCCTGCTCCTCCTAACCATACTCCTACTAATCCCCCTTTTGATAATCCTGCTCCACCTAACCATCCTCCTTCTAATCCCCTCCTGATAATCCTGCTCCTCCCAACCATCTTTCTAATCCCCTCCTGATAATCCTGCTCCCTCCTAACCATCTTTCTAATCCCCTCCTGATAATCCTGCTCCACCTAACTATCTTCCCTAATCCCCCTGATAATCCTGCTCCCACCCAACCATCCTCCTCCTCATCCTGATAATCCTGCTCCTCCTAACCATCCTCCTTCTAATCCCCCTCTTGATAATCCTGCTCCACCTAACCATCCTCCTTCTAATCCCCCTCCTGATAATCCTGCTCCTCCTAACCATCTTTCTAATCCCCCTCCTGATAATCCTGCTCCACCTAACCATCCTCCTCCTAATCCCCCTCCTGATAATCCTGCTCCTCCTAACCATCCTCCTCCTAATCCCTCCTGATAATCCTGCTCCACCTAACCATCCTCCTCCTATCCCTCCTGATAATCCTGCTCCTCCTAACAATCCTTCTCCTAATCCCCCCTCCTGTTAATCCTGCTCCTCCTAACCATCCTCCTCCTAATCCCTCCTGATAATCCTGCTCCACCTAACCATCCCTCCTAATCCCTCCTGATAATCCTGCTCCTCCTAACATCCTCATTTTCATCCCCCTCCTGATAATCTTGCTCCACCTAACCATCTTTCTAATCCCCCTCCTGATAATCCTGCTCCACCTAACCATCTTCCTCCTCAGTAGGCGCCGTCCCCTAACTAACTTGACGTTTAAACTTCTTTGTTGGTTTGGTAACCTGTCCGTTCAAAATATAGCTAAACTCAACAAAATTGTTAGTCTGTCATACAGAACTTGAAAGCAAATATATCCAAGAAATCCCACGTAAGTCTAGAAAAAGTCTAGATTTCCACAGCTTCAGGAAGAGTCTTAGGCTCCTTTTTATTATATTTTGTTTTTTCACTATGAGCTTTTTTCGGTAAAACATGTTCATTTGAGAGACTGGTTGTTAGTCTACAAAATTGTTAGTCTGTCATACAGACCCTGAAGCAAATACATCCAAGAAATCCCACGCAAGTCTAGAAAATGTTGCAAGTCTAGATGAAGAAAGTCTATGGGGTCCTTTTTATTATATTTTGTTGCTTTTTTCACTATGAGCCTTTTTGTCTGTAAAACATGTTCATTTCAGAGACTAGTTGTTAGTCTACAAAATTGTTAACCAAGCACGAAAAATCGATCATTGGCACTGAGTCAATAACATCTATCGGCCTACTTTACGAGCAGCAAATCATTAAAAAAAAGTGCGGAAAATTGTAAACGACAGTTCCCACATTCTGTTTTACGATTTTGAATTTCTTCCATCAGGTCGTCGTCTGCGCATGCCGATAGCTAGAACAAACATGTTCCCTTACTCTTTTGTACCAGCCGGTATTCATTATTTTAACAATAGTTAATCCTCAATATTTATATTCACCTTATTATCTTACCATTTCATACCATTTCACACCACTGCCTTATTTTACCTCATCATTTCAGTTCATCATATCCTACTTCTCCCCCGTTTTAGTGCTCTTAACTATTTATTTGTTTACCATCTCAGTGCTTACTGAAATGTGATGTGTTGCGATTCCATGTTTTGTTCTGTCTCATGTGTTTTACGATGTAACCACAATTTCCTTCGGGATAATAAAGTATTATCTTATCTTAACAAAATATAATAAATGGCGCTTTTTGACGTTTAGTTATAAAATGAGGGACTGCCTTGACAAGTATCCATATGAAAGATCGCATGTGTACCGAAAGTGTATATGTATATGTACCTAGGCTCTAAACAGTGACGTCGTTATGAATAACACATGCAATGAACAACACGCGGTGAAGTGGAGCTATAGATAGTCACCTTCACGGCAGCGGATGGAGGAAGAGTGATGTTTCCGTATGTTTCATCATCACTGTTGACGGGTCTAATACAAGGTATTGAAATAATTATCTACTACTGACAACTCAAATGCTTAATAGCAGTTTACAGCTTGAAGCTGAACGAGGCGGTGATCGCAGTACTTGGATCGCACATCTCCCTATGTTTTCTTGACTCGGGGTCGTTTTCATCGTGGGTACTACAGATTTGTATCCCAGGCACATTTCTGGGCCTACCTTTAGAGCACAGCACCACAAACTGAAAAAATACGTCATAATACCCTTTTACGTATTTTTATGTGATTTTGTTCCAATGCACGTTTGCAGCGCACGCGTTCTCCAAACAATGCCCTATGACGGCGGCATAGCAACACTGTCGAGCTAGTGCGTATAAGCTCCGCTCACTGATGTTTCATCTCTACTAGCTATGGCATTTCATAAGCCCAACTATGTTAAGAGTTTCCAGTAGTTGTTTACCGGCGGATGCGCAACTTTTCGCAAGCACCAGTTTCAAATATGTTTCTTTTATCACTGATACGCTCATATTTATTTGTATTAAGAGCTGCTGATGTGTTATATATTGTGTATTTTTGTATTTTGTATTTTTTAAAATTAAGTAAAAACCGGTCACATTCTGCCATATTCTATTATTTGCAGTTTGGGTCAATTTCATTATTTAAATATATTTTAAGGTTTCAGTGTAACTATTAGGACTAAATGAAATATAAATATGTGAACTGATATATTTTTACATTCAGTAATTTAATGCATCATTACACAGAAATGGAGTTTATTAGTATTTTATTTTTTGAAGCAGTAAATGCACAGTAGGCGCCGATCTGATATATTTATAAGTATGACCTATATCTTATATCTTATACATATAGGTCATACTTATAAATATATCAGAGTCGGGCGCCTATGAGAATGCATTACACTGGAAATGTCAGTCATTTTCGTGACGGTTCGGTCAATGTATTCTACTAATTAGGATTATTTCAAGGGGTTAGGGTTAGGGTAAGGGACCTAATCCATTGTACATGTGAGGTGAGGTGAGGTGAAATTGGGTTTAACGTCGTGCTTGAGAGTATGTCGCTCATATGACGACGTGCATGCGTGTGTATGTGTATGTGCGGCTGCTTGTACTAGCCCAGACTTAAGCTGGTTTTATAGTGCTAGCCAACTGAGATACCATGCCGCAGTGAAGCATGAATACCCCACTCAGACACATCATACTGACTCTGTGCCGACCAGTTCTTGTTCCCATTAATGCCGAGTGCCAGGCAGGGACCAACACTATTGTCTTTTGGTATGACGTAGTCAGGGATCGAACATGTGACCTACCGCTCTCCGGGCGGTGGTCTAACCACTACACCAGGGAGGTGGTCCTAGTGACATGTGACCTTTGGCAGAGAACGTCCTCACGTGAAGTTGTGATGCTGATTTCTAAAGGTGCTCCAGATCTTTTACTGTGGGTTCTGGGATGCAGTTTAAATGGAGAGGTCAGGGGTCATTGGTCGTGAGACTGTATCATATTTTTTGCAATTATTCTTGCCTGTAAAAATTCCCATCATCATGATCAGGACCTAAATACTGCCGTCTATCCTCATGATCATCATAATCCCACTGACGCTGAATTACTCTATTAGGGATTGTTTTCATCGGGGGTACTAACAGATTTGTATCCCGGGCACATTTCTGTATCCAGAGATTTGCCATAGCCAAAATCATTATACAGAACAGTATCCATGCAGTACCGTAAATAGCAATATATGAGTACCACAAAAACAAAGCTGGTTCATGTTTTTCAGATTCATCTGATAACCATGCTAGATAATGCTCTGAATATAAGTGAACGAGTTGCATGCTGTTTTTAGCCATATTCCAGCAATATCATGGCGGGGAACACTAGAAATGGGCTTCAAACATTGTACTTATGTGTGGAATCAAACCCAGTTCTTCAGAGTGACGAGTGAACACTTAAACCGCTACCCCACCACCGAAGACTAATATAGGAGCTAGGAATATAGGAGTACTGTTTGTGATATTGTCACTTTGTATCTTCGTGTTTTAAATAATTTGCTAAATGATTAGTGTTAAGATCCTGTCAGTGACAACATATATACCATTAAAAAAATTAGGGGATATTCCATTTTGCTAGCATACCACTAGCCAATGCCAATGCATATGAGAAAAAGTAATATATATCCATACAGATGAAGCATTTCCAAAGGAATGGAATAAATTGTCACATTTTCCTTAATTTCTCTTCATCATCTGTTTCCTCCTTGGCTTCATCATTTGCATTTTATCAATCTTGTAAATCCAGTTTCCCCTACTTTTTTGAATGGTATATAACGTTACTGTAGAAGGCTGTGGGATAACATTTGGTTTTATGTAGCCTGGAGCATTATGCAGCGGCGGCATAGCAAGACAGCGGGCGCGCTAAAGTGAGATTATTGCTCTGCGACAGGCAGGCAACGCTGCCTGGGGCTGTGCTCGGTGAATTGCACGTTTTTAGAGGTAAACAGACACACAGACAGACAGACAGACAGATATTTTGTTAAAGTATCACCTCGTATATTTACATGTGTACATGGAATGGCTGTTGACAGCCTGGAGGATTATAAAGAAAATATACCATTCAAAAGTAGGGGATATTCCATTTCCAAAGGAATGGAATAAATTGTCACATTTTCCTTAATTTCTCTTCATCATCTGTTTCCTCCTTGGCTTCATCATTTGCATTTTATCAGTCTTGTAAATCCAATATCCCCTACTTTTTTTGAATGGTATATCTTGATGTGAGATTTGTCATTACAGACCCCACTATACCTAACTATCTTATTGTTTGCACAATGCAGTTTACCAAGTACAGTGAAACACTGTCTAAACCGGCACCCCATAGGACCAAAATAAAATGCCAGTTTAGGCAGCGGTGCCGGATTAGACAGTGACGATAATTTTCGAACATGGCTGCCAATTACACTCTGTAATCTCTTTATTTCTGATTATCTAGCCTGCCAGGAGGAGTGTATTGGATTAAGGGACCTTGATTGGACTGCTCATACCCATGCCGGCTTTGAGCGTTTGATTCACTGCGTAATCACTACTTCGATTTCCTGATTGTCTTGCGTGACAAGAGGATTAATTAGTGTATTGGATTATGAGTCCTTGATTGGACTGCTCATACCCATTCCGGTTTAGACAGTGTTAATTACAGTTCAAATTGCTTGTTGTGACCGGAAAGTCGTGCCGGAATACGGAATGTTTTAATGATCATAATATCGTTGTAAAATGGCGGGACCAAAATCTTATGCCGGTTTTGACAGTGTGCCGGATTAGACAGGTGCCGGTGTTGGCAGGTTTTACTGTATAATCAAAGCAGTGAACCTATTTCAACTCAACATGGAGAGAAAAAGTACCGCCAAATTGTCGGAACTACAGCAGATAGAGAAAGGAGTGCAAGCAAGATGGGAAAAGTTGAAAATCTTTGAAGAAGATGCTCCTCCAAGTGGGTCAGCAGAGGCAAAGTGAGTTTAAAGCTGGGTCTTAAAATATATTTTAACAACCTGTAGTGCTTTTACAAGAACTGAGGATATAAGGGTGTATATAAGGGTGTTTGTCATCATGGGTGACACGTAAGAAATGGTCAGGCTCGTAGACTTGGTTGATGCCAGTCAACATATCCCATTTGCACAGAATGATGCTGATATTTCTCATGATGTCATTCGCTGGAATGTCTGGCATTTCAAGAGATCACGAATAATGAAATAGTTTCTTGAAGGAATAGGGTTTAATTCACTGTAGGGCTGGGACGGGTCCAAATTTTCTACCTGGGTACCCCACCCCTATTACCCTACCCTACCCGGATACCCATTATTGTAAATTCCTGACATCAAATTTGGAAGAAATGGCATATATTCTTCAGCTCAGAGGCTAAAATTCTGACTTTTTCAATATCTTAATCATGTATTATATTCAAAACAGGTGACTGTAAATTATGTCTAAATCTTCAAAGACAATACAACTTTTAAATCATGAAAGAATAACATATTACATTGTTTAATCTATTAGTCACATGATCATAACGAGTCCGGGTATTGAGACGGGTACCTGGGTCCAACTCATTACCCACCCGTCTCGGGTATCTGTGTTTCCCATCCCAGTCCTAATTCACTGAATATACAAGTAAATCAAAACAGCCCTGCAATTGAGTGGGGCTTTTGCACAACAATCATACAACATTGATGAAACAAACAATACAATCTGATAATGTTTTGTTTATATAGACTAACATAGCATGTATAATAAATCTGTTTCAGACAAGAGAAGTACTTGGCGACATTCCCCTTTCCATACATGAATGGCCGTCTTCACCTTGGCCACACGTTCTCGCTGTCCAAATGTGAGGTGGGATATATATCTGGTCATACTTTAAACCCTTCTTTATATTAGCATGTAGAGCTTACAATAGCTGTATGAATTAGTGCCTGTTTAGAATCGTACTTCTTTTAAGTGGTGCCTAAACAATAGCGATTTGAATCTATGATAATTGTTAAACAACTTTTATCCAAAGTTGAATAAAATTCTGAGATTTAGATGTTCAACTGGCAAGATAAAATTATGACAATTCGCAATCTTAATTACACTTTATTCGATTTACTTTTTTGTTTAAAGTGAAATTCATTGGTACGTTTTCACTACAAACAGACTATACATATAGAATTGAAAAGTTTCACCTTCAATATTTTTTTAATGCATGATATTTGTGACACCACTTGCATGTTTCAGTTTGCTGTGGGGTACCAGAGGATGCTTGGGAAGAAGTGCCTGTTTCCATTTGGTTTCCACTGTACTGGCGTGCCAATCAAGGTGAGTAGCAAAGAAGAAGGAACATCGAATCTGTTGCCACTAAAGTGTTTCAGGGGTGGAAATAACCCATTGCCCGACGTCCGAGTCCAGTGTCTTTTTCTGTCGGGCAAGCAAATTTGTATATCACACTGTACCGGTGTCCAGTTGACTTTCCAATGTTTATTATGTTGTTTATTTAAAAAATCAGCAAGAAAACGGTTGGTAAAGTGGGAAAATTATCAGGGCAAGTGACTTTACATGTGCCACTGTACCTGGAGTACACTAGCAATTTTAAAGTTATTTCCACCCCTGTGTTTACAGATATGTTAGTAATAGAATCTTCAAGGGGCCAGTGTTATATGATATACCTGTCGTAAGAAGTACTTCGTCAGAAACTAACATTATAAATTTGGACTTGTATTGATAGAGGTCTGGTTTAGTAAGGTTCTGTTTTGGGGAGATGTCACTATACATGATTTGTGAGGTGATAGCAGGTGCCCATGTTTACCAGGCATGTGCAGATAAGCTGAAGCGGGAGATGGAAGACTATGGATTCCCCTCCTCCAGGTTTCCCCTCGAGACCACGGAGGAGGAGGTGGCGCCCACAGAAAAGGATGTCGTGATCAAGGACCAGGCTGTGGGCGAGAAGGTGAGGCTACTCTTGTAATATTTTACAGTATAAATTTTTCTGCAAGCTGATTGGCTGGGGTTGGACACGTTGAAAATAGTTTATCTGAGTGTTAGGCTATTGTATGAAGTAATTTGTGTTGATTAGTGAAAGTAAACATGAGCACGAGTTGTAATCTCCCCAAGGAGTTGAGATTGAAAATACGATGTGCTGTTGAGATTGACATCCAGTGATCGAGGGAACAGACAAAGCCCTTTGAGCATGCATGTAGATGGGATGGACTATAGTGCTATATAAATACCCATATAATAATAATAATAATAATAATAAATGCTAAAAATGTCTTCATGCAGAATGTTTACCAGTTTGTAAGTACAGACTGTTGTGTTAAAGTTAAGTAACCTACACTTAAGTATCTCAGAGGTTTGACACAAGGGCAAAATGATGAACAGATAACGAGCTCCCAGTTTGTTTTCTTTCAACACGTTCAAGATAACTGTAAGTTTGACTGTAGCATATTTGTGTTTGTATATCTGAGAGGGCTCTGATCTGATGATTATTTTTAGACCGCCGCTGCTGAGTGCGGCGTAAAACTAAACTCACTCACTCACTCTGATAATATCGTACATGATCATGTGTTCCTTTCAGAGTGAAGTGTTGGCGGAAACTGGTGGTCTTGAATATCAGTGGCAGATCATGGCTGCCCTAGGACTGACCAATGATGAGATCAAATCCTTTGCTGACCCTGTACACTGGCTGAAGTACTTCTCCTCTCACTGCAAGAGTGACCTCATCAGATTGGGAGTCAGGGTAGGTGATTACTGGTGGGGGTGACAGTGTGTTGGGTTGGGAGTCAAGGAAGGTGATTACTGGATGGGGTGACAGTATGTTGGGGTGGGAATCAGGGTAGGTGATTACTGGTGGGGGTGACAGTGTGTTGGGATGGGAGTCAGGGTAGGTGATTACTGCTGGGGGTGAGAGTATGTTGAGGTGGGAGTCAGGGTAGATGATTACTGTTGGGGTTGACAGTGTGTTGGGGTGGGATTAGGGGTAGGTGAATACTGCTGGGGGTGACAGTATGTTGAGGTGGGAGTCAGGGTAGATGATTACTGTTGGGGTTGACAGTGTTTTGGGGTAGGGGTAGGTGAATACTGCTGGGGGTGACAGTATGTTGGGGTGGGAGTCAGGGTAGATGATTACTGTTGGGGTTGACAGTGTGTTTGGGTGGGAGTCAGGGTAGATGATTACTGCTGGGGGTGACAGTGTGTTGAGGTGGAAGTCAGGGTTAAAGGTCACATGCAACATAAAACACAACTTTGCAGATTCTGATACCTTTCGGTATGGACTAACGACACAAAGTGTCAAAAATGCAAATTCAACTTACAAAGTTGAAAAATAACGCAATGAAAAAAACCGCGCGAAAACGTTTCACTAATTTTCCCCAGACTTTTCTGGGGAATACGGGTTTCAACAGCTGGGCTGCGCTCATAGCACGTGCGCAGTGAAATAGGTTCGCGCAACTTGGAAGCGGGCTGTCTGGTGAATACCGGTGAAGGCTTTGGTGTGAGCTATTTTCATAATGTTTTGTTGATATCTCACAGGCACGAGCTTTTTGTATGTTATGACAGTAAATAAACTGTTTATATAATTTCATTTGTCTATTTCACCACACATTCTTCTTACCGAGTCACTTTCTCAGTTCGATACTTAAAAGCAATGTCATTATTTAGAGTTGACACAATTTCTAACTGTGATATAGATATGTCGCTGTCACAGACAAAACTCAATGTCTTGTTTTATTGACACCTGTGTGTCTGCCTGACTGTCTGCTAATGACAATATTCAATACACAACTGCGATCACTGACCACATGCAATTTGAACTTAACACCAATCAGGCTATACACCATAAACAAAACGCATTGATTTATGGCCCGAGTTCGGTCTCTGTCACATTATGTAATTACACAGACAGGCAGGTGTGATACTTGAACACATGACATGTTATGATATCTGTTGATTGCAAAATGTTATACACAAGAAATGAGCATGTATTTACAAAACCCAACTTTCTATGTATACACACACAATGAGCCGTGAAGGCGGCATCTGCTAATGAACCAGCCGTTACACTTGAGTGCACACCCACCCGCTCTGACTGGGTTCGGTATCCCGGCTGCTTCGTTTCGAGGGAGGTAAACCCAAGTACAAAATATTGCACTTTTGATTTGCGATTATACGCTTATAATTTTGTTTATTTGTTTTTTCATAATCAGCAATGCATATTATATGTCATGAAGAAGTGATAATTGTGTTTTATTTATGTTTGATTTTTTGGTTGCATGTGACCTTTAATGATTTCTGTTGGGGTGACAGTGTGTTGGGGTGGGAGTAGGGGTAGGTGAATACTGCTGGGGTTGACAGTATGTTGGGGTGGGAGTCAGGGTAGATGATTACTGCTGGGGGTGACAGTGTTTTGGGATGGGAATCAAGGTAGATGATTACTCCAGGGGGTGACAGTGTCTTAGGATGGGAATCAAGGCAGATGATTAATGCTGGGGGTGACAGTATGTTGGGGTGGGAGTCGGGGTAGGTGATTACTGCTGGGGTTGACAGTGTCTTAGGATGGGAATCAAGGCAGATGATTACTGCTGGGGGTGACAGTATGTTGGGGTGGGAGTCAGGGTAGGTGATTGCTGCTGGGGGTGACAGTATGTTGAGGTGGGAGTCAGGGTAGGTGATTACTGCTGGGGGTGACAGTGTGTTAGGATGGGAATCAGGGTAGGTGATTACTGTTGGGGGTGACAGTATGTTGGGGTGGGAGTCAGGGTAGGTGATTACCGCTGGGGGTGACAGTGTGTTAGGATGGGAGTCAGGGTAGGTGATTACTGCTGGGGGTGACAGTATGTTGGGGTGGGAGTCAGGGTAGATGATTACTGCTGGGGGTGACAGTATGTTGGGATGGGAGTCAGGGTAGGTGATTACTGCTGGGGTGACAGTATGTTGGGATGGGAGTCAAGGTAGATGATTACTGCTGGGGGGGATGACAGTATGTTGGGGTGGGAGTCAGGGTAGGTGATTACTGCTGGGGGTGACAGTGTGTTGGGATGGGAGTCAGGGTAGATGATTACTGCTGGGGGTGACAGTATGTTGGGGTGGGAGTCAGGGTAGGTGATTACTGCTGGGGGTGACAGTGTGTTAGGGATAGGGAACTGCTGGGGGGTCAGGGTAGGTGATTACTGCTGGGAGTGACAGTATGTTGGGGTGGGAGTCAGGGTAGATGATTACTGTTGGGGGTGACAGTATGTTGGGATGGGAGTCAGGGTAGGTGATTACTGCTGGGGGTGACAGTGTGTTAGGATGGGAGTCAAGGTAGATGATTACTGTTGGGGTGACAGTATGTTGGGGTGGGAGTCATGGTAGGTGATTACTGCTGGGGGTGACAGTGTGTTGGGGTGGGAGTCAGGGTAGATGATTTCTGCTGGGGGTGACAGTGTGTTGGTGTGTTGTGGGAGTCAGGGTAGATGATTACTGCTGGGGGTGACAGTGTGTTGGGGTGGAAGTCAGGGTTAATGATTTCTGTTGGGGTGACAGTGTGTTGGGGTGGGAGTAGGGGTAGATGAATACTGCTGGGGGTGACAGTATGTTGGGGTGGGAGTCAGGGTAGGTGATTACTGCTGGGGGTGACAGTATGTTGAGGTGGGAGTGATGGTAGGTGATTACTGGTGGGGGTGACAGTGTGTTGAGGTGGGAGTAGGGGTATTTGATTACTGCTGAGGGTGGCAGTGTGTTGAGGTGGGAGTAGGGGTATTTGATTACTGCTGGAGGTGGCAGTGTGTTAGGATGGGAATCTTTAACTGAGAGTGTTATCTCAAATCTTGCTTCAACCTGGATTATGTTTCTTCATTTATCTTATACCATATGTATGCTCATGAGATAGATATCTCAAATCTTGCTTCAGACTTTATGTTTCTTCATTTGTCTCTTACAGTATGTGATGCTCTGAAATTCTGCAAAGAGGCATAGAGGCCAAATGAGTTACTCCCTCACTTACAAACTCTCTGATTGGCTGCTGCAGGTTGACTGGAGGAGGAGCTTCATGACTACTGATTACAACCAGTACTTTGATTCCTTCGTCCGCTGGATGTGTATCAGGCTGAAGGAACGGGGCAAGTGCAAGTTTGGGAAAAGGTGGGAGATGTGATTGGACTGTGAATACAAATGGAGGGTGGTGGGGTAGCCTAGTGGTTGAGGCCTCGCTCATCGCAACGAAGACCCGGGTTCGATTCCCCAAGTTGGAACAATGTGTGAAGCCCATTTCTGGTGTCCAATTCTCAAGATATTGCTGGAATATTGCTAAAAGCGGCATAAAACTAAACTCGGTCACATTCATAAGGACACAGGATTTTGGAATCCTTCATTTTGCTATATATATATACAAAAAATGAGCTTGTCAGTTGGGGCGCTAAACTGGTATCAGATAGGATGTTATTGTATGTTACACCAATGCTTGTACGGGTTATAAACAAAAATTTAGATCCAGGCCAGGAGTGATCTTTAGCAGCGTATGTTTTCGTAAGCGGTGACTTACGAGATCGGGTAGGGAAGCCTAATACTGATTAGGTTAGTGTTGCGGCCTTGGATTTACCCTCTATGTCAATGAGAATAAAGGCTGCGGGTGTGAGGTCACTCGTTTATTTTGAGGATTTAGTGGATAGCAGTAGATATCAGTTGATATCAGTAGACGCTCCTGTGGGTGACACGGAAGTGTTGCTACCGGCGGTCAACCCTCCGCAAACTACAGGATTGTAATACCTTAGAAGTAGCTTATCATGTACTATGTTGATTTGCTGTCACATCAAGTGATCACATGTGCTGAGCTCATAAGGTGACGGTGACAAGTGCTGTGTAAGTGAAAAATGGCTGATGACCTATGATTTGAAACAAGCCAATCCCAATGAACCAGGTGATCATTACAAATCACATCACTGACAGTAAGATAGAATAACCTAATTGCCCTATGACCTTGTAATGGAATGATCCAAAACAATCAGAGACCTGCATTAAGCACTTAAAATACTACTTGCCGACAACTGCTTATTGTGAACACACTGAACCTCTGTTGAACCCAAAACAACACAGATGTATATACATTTTGATAAAAGATACGCAACACATGAAGTTAATATAAATGCTTTTATTTCACCCTATGCATGTCATCGTATGCTTGAAATGTCCATCACTGGATTGTCAGGTCCAGACTCAATAATTTACAGACCATGATCAGAGCTGGATTATTGTTGAGTGTTGCATTAACAATTAATTGTAATGCGTATGAAAGGCTTTTCTTAGACTGAATAATGTCCTTTATACATGTGTACAGACGTTGATGTTCTAAATGTACGTCAGGTACGTTTTGTTACAGGTACACCATCTTCTCCCCTAAAGACAACCAGCCCTGTATGGATCATGACCGTAGTTCAGGGGAGGTAAGTGGGGCTTATAATCCAGTACCACATTCCAGCTTAGAGGTGAGGTGAGGTGAAATTGGGTTTAACGTCGTGCTTGAGAATATTTCTCTCATATGACGACGTGCATGCGTGTGTATGTGTATGTGCGGCTGCTTGTACTAGCCCAGACTTAAGCTGGTTTTATAGTGCTAGCCCACTGAGATACCATGCCGCAGTGAAGCATGAATACCCCAACAAGTACCATAATTTAACGTCTTTTGGTATGACGTGGTCAGGGATTGAACCCGCGACCTTCCGCTCTCTGGGTGGATGCTCTAACCACTACACCACGGAGGCGGTCCTCCAGCTTACAGATGACTTAGCATGTCATCACCTCCAAATGCTGACTTGCTTATCATTTGTTAACAAAAGCCTATATTCTGATACTCGTGATGATCCGGGTTAGAATTGGATGGGTGGTCAGGCTTGGTTGACACATGTCATTGTATTCTAATTGTATAGATTGATGCTCATGCAGTTGATCAGTGTCTTGTCCAGACTCGATAATTACATTCTGTCGTTATATAGCTGGAATACTGCTGTGTGTGACGTGAGACAACAAACCAACCAAGCCATATTCTGAAATCAGATGAGTCTGACCTAATGCAAGGTTTTCGGTGCACTCTTCATATTGTTTTGCGCAGTATATATATATGTTACTACAACTTGGGCTGACTATCGATATTGATCATAGAGACAGATAATCATTAACTAAATATTGATCGATTGTCGATAAATATCAGAGACATAACTTTGAACAAAAATGTCTGACAAATGAATATACTTCACATCATTGGCAAGTGGTGACATGTTTTTGTATAGATTATAAACAAAACAGAATACTGAACATAATTTAGAAGCAGACCATAAATAAAGTCCTAAACCTTTTTCTATCACAAAAGTTCATGTACGATATTATCGATAACACAATTTTCATGTCAATAATCATTTATAATCTTTACTATTGACGATATTTTCAATTATTGATAATTTTAGCCAGCCCTAACTGTAACAGTGAGTGAATAGTAACAGCCCTAATGGTGATTATTATTTTTTATTTTATTCATAAGATCACTGCAATATTTCAGGGTGTGGCACCTCAAGAGTACACACTGATTAAGATGAAACTCACTGAACCTCTGCCTCAGAAACTCAGGTGAGTGTTTTGTTACCATGGTTACAAAATTTCAGTGTAAGTTTTGTTATGTTATTCAAGCTCTCATTGTTATCAGTGTGTGAAATATTCTCAAAATATTGATGGACAGGTGGGCAAACTGAACTTAAAACTTTCTGGTCATCTTCCAATTTCATTATCTTAATTTATGTGTAACAGTTATTTTTTTCCGAAATTCATTTATGGGAAGGTTTGATAGATTATATTTCTTATATTTTTGGTAGTTGCATTGATCTTTAGAAATGGGAGAATCTTTTCTGTTCTGATCAAATGAGTGCATAAAAAATAACATGAAATCTCAGTATCAACTCTGGCTTGTCAGGGCTCCAGCTAATTATTTTGACTCAGTCATATTTACAAATATAATGAAATTATTTATTGACTGGTCAAGTATTATCGGGATGAGTTTTAAAACTGACATATTCATGTGAGCACTGTTTGGGGACTGGTCTTTTATTATAGGGTGGCTGTCCTGAAAAATGGTTACATGGGAGATGATGAAAGTCATGAAAACATACTACAGAAAATGGTGTTGGGGTGTTAGCTAAGTATGATACAGCACTAAGACCAATGACATCGCACACACAGCTCACCACAAAGCCCGCACACACACTCACCACCCACACTCACACACAATGCCCACGCCCCATGCCAACATGCACACCCACCCCACACCACTGCACGACACCCACACACCTTAATAAATGACCAGTTCCTTGACTTTACTATTCAAGTCATTTGGTGTGAAGGGAAAAATAGCCATGAAAAGAGTTGGCAAGGAGGTAACTTTGACCTCCCAAATGATCATGCCCTTTGGGTTTGTCATATTCATTTTATTTCAGCCAATATATATGCTTCGTTTCTTTCATTCCACAGTTCTCTGACGGGTCGTCCGGTGTTCCTGGTTCCTGCAACTCTGCGCCCAGAGACCATGTTTGGACAGACAAACTGTTGGTTGCATCCGGACATGAAGTATGTGGCCATAGAGATTGTGACTGGAGAGGTGTTTGTGTGCACACGCAGAGCAGCACGGAACATGAGCTACCAGGGATTCACAGCGGTCAATGGAGAGTACAAGGTCCTGGTGGAACTCGTGGGACAGGTACGGCATGTTGATACAGGTAGAGACAGGTAGATAGGTTGCCGGACTCAGAGACTTGGTTCATGTCTGCATACTCTTGGGGGGGTGGGGTAGTCTAGAGGTTAAAGCACTGGCTCGTCACGCCATGTGTGAAGCCCTTTTCTGGTGTCCCCCGCCATGATATTGCTGAAATATTGCTAAAAGCATTGTAAAACCACACTCACTCAAGGATAGTAACTGTAAATATGAATCATTTGATTGTCTGGTCCAAGCACAAATATAAATACAGGTCATCATGATGTAGCTCAGGGTTCGCACGGGCTTGAAAACGCCTGAAATTTGGACATTTAACCCCGAAAGGCCATACATTTATTTTAGCTTTCAAAAGGCCCTAAATGCCAGTGATTTGCCCTAAAATGGTCCCATATTTAGCAAAACTTGTCAAGTTAGGATTTTACAGAAAACTAATACATAATAAATTGTAGCTTGCAATGACAATGGGCGTTAATTAATCTCCATTGCCCCTTTATACTTTCGGCCAGATTTTCAAATTTAAAGTGTTGATTAGGCCTTGAAAACAGCCTAAAAACTTGTTAAATTTGATGGCTGACAATCTGTCAAACCCTGTTGCTGGAATACAGCTGAGAGACACATCATCGACAGGTAGTCAAATGTATTGTCCACTGAGCTACCTGGTGTGATCCTTCATCTGCCAGAACCCATCTGTACTAGAGTGAGTGAGTGAGTATTGTTTTACACCGCTTTTAGCAACACTCCAGCAATATCATGACGGGGGACACCAGAAATGGGCTTCACACCTTGTACCCATTTGGGGAATCGAACCCAGGTCTTCGGCGCGACGAGCGAACACTTTACTCACCAGGCTACCCAACCGCCCCCAATTTGTACCAGAGCCTTTTACCTAAGTGATTACTGTCTACATCCTGGGTCACTCTGTGGACACCCCAGTTGTGTAAACTCCAACAGAAGGATAACTGCAACACAAAAAGTAATATTCAGACCATATTGTGCACGCTTTATTTGGTGAGTGCACAGGCGCGTAGCAAGCCATTTTTTTGTGTGTAAGCCCGATAGAGCAAGGTAAAGCAGTATTTCTGGTGCCATTTCTATCAGCATAATTTCTGGTTAATTTTCAGGACGTGATGGGTCATGCCCTGTCAGCGCCTCTGTCAGCGTACAAGACAATCTACACCCTGCCAATGCTGACCATCAAAGATGATAAAGGTAGGAAGATACTGTCAATGAAGTGGCCCTCCACTATTGTTCATACACAACGAATTTCAACTCATACAGTCAGTACATGGCCAATTTCATACATTTTAACTTACAATGCAACACAGCTGTATTAATATATACACAGTACTACACAGAGCTACACAGTACTACACACAGCTACACAGTACTACACAGCTACACAGTACTACACAGCTACACAGTACTACACAGAGCTACACAGCACAACACAGTACTACAGAGCTACACAGTACTACACAGAGCTACACAGTGCTACACAGTACTACACAGAGCTACACAGAGCTACACAGTACTACACAGAGCTACACAGTACTACACAGAGCTACACAGTACTACATTTCTGAGGGTGTCCCCACAGTACTACACAGAGCTGCTACACACTACAGTAATCACAGAGCTACAAAGTACTACACAGTACTACACAGAGCTCTTAGTACTACACAGAGCTACATTGCTACACAGTACTACACAGAGCTACTCAGTACTACACAGTACTACACATTGCTACACAGTACTACACAGAGCTCTTAGTACTACACAGTACTACACATTGCTACACATTGTACTACACAGTACTACGCACATTGCTGAACAGTACTACACACTACACAGTGCTACACAGTACTACACATACACAGTGCTACACACACAAAGTGCTACACACACTAAGTACTACACAGAGCTACACAGTACTACACATTGCTGAACAGTACTACACAGAGCTCACAGTACTACACAGTACTACACATTTGCTACACAGTACTACACACACAGTGCTACACAGTACTACAGTACTACACATTGCTGCACAGCTACTACAGTGCTACACATTGCTACACAGTACTACATTGCTACACACACAGTGCTACTATGGTACTACACATTGCTACAAAGTGCTACACAAAGCTCTACAAATTGCTACACAGAGCTACACATTGCTACACAGTACTACACATTGCTGAACAGTACTACACATTGCTCAACAGTACTACAGTACTACACACAGTACTACACAGTACTACATTGCTACACAGTACTACACACAGAGCTGCAAAGTGCTACACAGTCCTAAAAGTATTACACATACAGAGCTCACAGTACTACACATTGCTGCACAGTACTAAACAGAGCCTATAGTACTACACAGTACTACACATTACTACACAGTCCTATAGTACTACACAGAGCTGCAAAGTGCTACACAGTCCTAAAGTATTACACAGAGCTGCAAAGTGCTACACAGTCCTAAAGTATTACACAGAGCTACAAAGTGGTACACAGAGCTACAAAATACTACAGAGAGCTACAAAGTGCTACACAGAGCTACAAATATGCTATAGAGCTACAAGGTACTACACACAGCTACAAAGTGCTACACAGAGCTACAAATATGCTTTAGAGCTACAAGGTACTACACAGAGCTACAAAGTGCTACACAGAGCTACAAATATGCTATAGAGCTACAAGGTACTACACACAGCTACAAAGTGCTACACAGAGCTACAAAATACTACATAGTGCCTTAGTGTCTCTACTTTTACAGACAGGGAAGAAGTTCTATCACTGTGTTGAACTGTGTAACATCAGATTAGTATAACAATTACATTTATCCTAAAATCCTTGTTTTTGTTCAAATTGTCCACTTATTTCAGTATGAGCCTATAAGCTGATGTTTTATGATACTCAGTTATCGTGTGTATGTGATTCAGGGACAGGTATTGTGGCTAGTGTTCCCTCAGATTCGCCTGATGACATCGCAGCTCTCCGAGATCTCAAGAAGAAAGAAGTTAGTATACTTTTTAATTACAAAAAATATATTGCGTTTTTAAACTTATCCTATCTCACGGTATGCACTTCTCTCTCTTCCTTCGACCATGGCGTGGAAACGTGCTGTAGGCTAAGTTGAATCAAATCTTCTGGACTCTCTCCCAACTGTTCGCTGCCCCCGGTACCACCCACTCCACTTGTGCTGTGTAAGCCAAGGGGTTTATAAATCAGAAGCAACTTATCACAAGTATTGGAGTTTAGCAAATTGGGAGTTAGTGCTTTCTCCTGGCCTCCTTGTGTGTAGGGACCACCCACTCCTAGAGTTTTTGTGCTGTGTAAGCCAAGGGGTTAAAATCAGAAGCAATCCTATCACAAGTATTGCGACCTCACGGTTGTAGAGTTGACACAGGGTAATCTGCGGCCCACCAGCCAACCGTGGGATAATGCATACCATGAGATAGGATAAGTTTAAAAAATTGGAAATTTTAACTATAATTTGTATATTTATATACTTATCCTATGGATGCCCACCCAACCTTCCCCACATCACAGATTACTGGGGGCTCCAAGTCGAAAATGACCATCTGAGCGCAAAGCACGTTTCACAGAGATGATTGACAGGTCCAGTGGGGGGAGCCATCGGGTGGGAGAGAGGCCAGAAGATTTGATTCAGCTTAGCCTACAGAACGTTTCCACACCGTGGTCGAAGTAAGAGAGAGAAGTGCATACCATGAGGTAGAATAAGTATATAAATATACAATTTATAGTTAAAATCTGCAAAATGTGAGCCAGGAGTGATACCAAATTGAGAATTTTTGAAAACACAGCAAGTCTATCTGTGAACTGAACCCTGTCAGCACAGATGAAACGCTGGTTTGCCTGGTTAAACATTTGTATATTTACACAATGTTGTGATATGCCTCACAGTGCAGTGTAAGTTATGAACACTCTGAAAATACTTCTTTCGTCATTCGATGTTTGATACAGGAAAAGTATCAGGATTAGGTGTCTGACTTTGTGTGCTGGCGATTAGGTCCCTGACTCTGAGGGTGTGTTTGTTCAAATCCTTGATGGGACTCAACCCTCCAAAAAGAACTAGAATTTGTACTTTACTAAGAAAGTGTAATCCCAAATGTTACATGAAAAGTGGCCAGTGATCACTATGCTGAGCTTTGTTGCTACCTGTAAGTATTAATTTCAGATTAAATATTATGGCTGGTATGCTTCATATGCAAATTATTAGAATGGGTCCTAGCCAGTTAGATTCGAAAATCTGCAGGAGTTACGATAACTTTGTGACAAGTGTGACAAATTCATGATTAGAGATTGATGTTTGTGTTAATGTCTTTACTGTGTTTGCTGTGATTATTATGTTTACTTTGTTCCAGCCTTTCAGGCAAAAGTATGGCATCAAGGATCACATGGTGTTGCCCTTTGAACCCGTGAGTATCGTTTTCAACAATCAATTGAGTCATACATACTTAAAGGGGCTGCCATGGTTCAGTCGCTGCAATGTGCCATGCAGATTTACCTCCCATGGCCAGGACAGGTCAAACCTCTGATTGTGGGTTTGGGTCCTGATTTGCCTTGATGCGAGTGAATGAGTGAGTGGGTTCAGTTTTATGCCGCACTCAACAGTATTCCAGCTATATGTCGGTGATTGGTAAGCAATCAAATCTGGACCAGACAATCCAGTGATCAACAGCATGAGCATCGAGATTTACCTTGATAATCATGATCATGTTTCTAGCTTTGTCAATATCATCATGACCCTACCTGAGATCGTAGATGTGTGGTAAACATCTTAGACATGCATTCACATGTTTTCGTGACATGCCATGATAAAACTGGAATGCTGTTCAAAGTGATGTTTAACATCATGTCTCTCACTCACTTTACATTTTGATGATACCTGTGGGGAAGTATTCAAAGTGGTCCAAGACAAGTCTTAGAACAGCATTTGGAAGTGATGCACATTAAGGCGAGAATTTATGGATGTCAAAATAAAGAAGTTGACTTCTATAAATCCTCGCCTCAATGGTCGAAGACAAGACAGAGACAGGAAGTGTCAATGTCCACACACTTTATTTGTACGCTGTTATAGACTATCATGTTGATTGTCCATAATTTCAAAAAATAACCATGATGGTAGTCAGTGAGCGAAATAGTTTCCAAATTTTGCTAGCCAGTCGGGCTTCACTGGTATGCCTGAAAGTTACTAGCCCACAAAATAATTCAATAGCCCAAAATTTGAATGTAGAAACTAAGCAAAAGATTACAAAAACAGATGAGAATAAGATCTTGTCAGCATGACACAGGTTTCATCATTAATCTGCTAATATGATTAACATTTTCATCAGGCCATAATCTTTCATGGTTTGAAAGTGTATAAGAACTTATCAAGTAAGGAGAGAGATATATTTACAAAATGACTCCATGAAAATTGACTGTGGAGATTTACTGGCCTGATTGGATTTTTACTAGCCATTGGCTAGTGGGCAAGTGGCTATTTCGCACACTGATGGTAGTACAGTATCAGGAACTGTTTGCTGTCTCCTTTCCAGGTACCGATCATAGACGTTGATGGGATAGGATCCTTGTCTGCTCCAAAACAAATAATCATGATGTTGATACAGTATCAGGAACTGTGCTTGATGTTTGCTGCCTCCTTTCCAGGTACCGATCATAGATGTTGCCGAGTTAGGAGACTTGTCTGCTGTCACCGTCATTGACATGTTGAAGGTCCAGAGTCAGAATGACCGTGGCAAGTTGTGGGAGGCCAAGGAGATGGTTTACCTGAGGAACTTCACTGAAGGAGTCAGTAATCACAAGCATTGTATTCATGTTATATCTTGGGCTATATGTTTTGTGAATACACTCTGAGAAAAGGGAGGGCACTGTAAGTGGTCTCTGGTACAGTCCCTGTGATTTTGGCAATGTATGTTGTAGGTTTACCGGTATTTACCAGTTCAGATATGAAATCGATACGTATTGCAATACGCTGATCGAAACCAGTATTTCAACATGCATTCGGAAAACTTTGTAACACTCTGAAATTTTCGGATATTTCTGTTTTTAACACCGGAAGTTAAGTTAGGTTTGAAGTTGTGTTCTTAATATTTGTTCAAGTGTTTCGCAATGTTTTGGATCTGAATGTTGTAAATATTTACTCATTTTTAACCAGTGATCTGTGACCAGGTCAAGTTGCTGTCTAAAATCTCAGGGCTTTTTTTCAGAGTGGAGAAACTAGTTCAATTGTTCTTTTCCTTGTTTCATTTGTGCCAAATAATATTTATTTTGTCGTGATTAAAAAGTTTTTAGTAAAGCGTAATCAAGAATAGTGATTTTGTTGTGTTTTTACTTTATAAATCAAGCATTAACTCGATTATAAATAGTTTTGTTACACAAAAACATTCTTGCAATATATTGCAATATGAATATTCTCTGCAATACCCACCCCCAGTATGTTGGTTGTGGTATTGAATTCCCGATATGCCATTATTTAATACTGAGATTTATAAACATCTGATCAGACTTTGTAGACTTTCCTGGTTGCCATTGTACAAAACAACCATTAATGCTTAGACTGTCGTACCTTAGTGATAGATTGCTTTTGTACAACAGTACCCTAGTGAGCAGACTAGTGTGTCGTGGCACTATGGGCTTAGAGATGACACAACTTTATGGATGATCAACTTCTTTATTTTAACAATAGCGACGTTTCGGTATAGGTTCTAAAACCGTTTTCAAGCATATGGGGGAATGACGGGGTACACCAGTTTATATACAAGATAAGATAAAGAGATAACAATAACAAGGGTGGGGAAACAAAGCATCAAAGAACGTTACATAATGAGCTACATCTTGTATATAAACTGTATAGGGTAGCCTAATGGTTAAAGCGTTGGCTCGTCATGCCGAAGACCCGGGTTCGAATCCCCACATGGGTACAATGTGTGAAGCCCATTTCTGGTGTCCCCTGCCGTGATGTTGCTGGAATATTGCTAAAAGCGGCGTAAAACCAAACTCAGTCAGTCAGTCTAAAATGCCACTCAAACAAAACTATGGACTTAGTAGTGAGTCACCACTTCTTTCCAGTTACTTTTACTTGAAGTTTAACTGAATTGTTACTGAGGTTTCCTTTTCTATTCCAGATCATGAAAGTTGGAGAGTTTAAAGGTCAGAGGGTCCAGGATGTGAAGAAGAAGATTCAGAAAGGAATGGTAGCCCAGGTGAGTGTCAAATAAACCAACCGTGTTTAAGTTTGATGAAGTCACACCGTAAATTTCATACCTGCATACCAGTTTTTATTTGGAACAAACAGCTTTAGCAATTCAATTTCTTCCTCTGAAATATCCTTGCTGCTGTGTTCTCATCCTCTGAAATGTCCTTGCTGCTGTGTTTTCATCCTCTGAAATGTCCTTGCTGCTGTTTTCATCCTCTGAAATGTCCTTGCTGCAGTGTTTTCTTCCTCTGAAAGGTCCTTGCTGCACAGTGTATTCTTCCTCTGAATGTCCTTGCTGAACAGTGTTTTCTTCCTCTGAAATGTCCTTGCTGCACAGTGTTTTCTTCCTCTGAATGTCCTTGCTGCACAGTATTTTCTTCTTCTGAATGTCCTTGCTGCACAGTGTTTTATTCCTCTGAAATGTCCTTGCTGCAGTGTTTTTTTGAATTCCTTCTGCAAATGTCCTTGCTGCAGTGTTTTCTTCCTCTGAAATGTCCTTGCTGCAGTGTTTTCTTCCTCTGAAATGTCCTTGCTGCAGTGTTTTCTTCCTCTGAATGTCCTTGCTGCAGTGTTTTCTTCCTCTGAAATGTCTTTGCTGCAGTGTTTTCTTCCTCTGAAATGTCCTTGCTGCAGTGTTTCCTTGCTGCAGTGTTGTTCCCCTTTCTCTGAAATGTCCTTGCTGCAGTGTTTTCTTCCTCTGAAATGTCCTTGCTGCAGTGTTTTCTTCCTCTGAAATGTCCTTGCTGCAGTGTTTTCTTCCTCTGAAATGTCCTTGCTGCAGTGTTTTCTTCCTCTGAAATGTCCTTGCTGCAGTGTTTTTTTCTCTGAAATGTCGTCCTTGCTGCTGCAGTGTTTTTCTTCCTCTGAAATGTCCTTGCTGCTCTTCCTCTGAGTTTTCTTCCTCTGAAATGTCCTTGCTGCAGTGTTTTCTTCCTCTGAAATGTCCTTGCTGCAGTGTGTTTTCTTGCTTCCTGAAATGTCTCCTTGCTGCTGTGTTTTCTTCCTCTGAAATGTCCTTGCTGCAGTGTTTTTCTTCCTCTGAAATGTCCTTGCTGCAGTGTTTTTCTTCCTCTGAAATGTCCTTGCTGCAGTGTGTTTTCTTCCTCTGAAATGTCCTTTGCTGTGTTTTCTTCCTCTAAAATGTCCTTTTCTTTTTCCTCTAAAATGTTGCTGCAGTGAAATGTCCCCTTGCTGCAGTGTTTTCTTCCTCTGAAATGTCCTTGCTGCAGTGTTTTCTTCCTCTGAATGTCCTTGCTGCTGTGTTTTCTTCCTCTGAATGTCCTTGCTGCACAGTATTTTCTTCCTCTGAAATGTCCTTGCTGCAGTATTTTCTTCCTCGGAATGTCCTTGCTGCACAGTGTTTCTTTCTCTGAATGTCCTTGCTGCACAGTTTTCTTCCTATGAAATGTCCTTGCTGCAGTGTTTTCTTCCTCTGAATGTCAGTGCTGCACAGTGTTTTCTTCCTCTGAAATGTCCTGGCTGCAGTGTTTTCTTGATATGCATGTGTATTTGTCAGATCTATGAGACATTAACACAGGATTTCAGCAAAATTTGAATGTTTCCTGTTTCAGAAAGAGGCTGTCCTGTACATGGAACCAGAGAGGAAGGTGATGTCACGGTCTGCAGATGAGTGTGTTGTAGCACTTTGTGATCAGTGGTGCGTTCTGGTGCTGTGTCAACGGTGATGAGTCAAACAGTGTGCCAGGACGTATTAAACTTCGGTGGAACCCACGAGCACTGGAACTGTGCTGGCAAACTAAGCTGCATTATCATAAAATGCATGTCATAATGTCCCAGCCAACCGTGAAGATCCGGGTTAGAATTGGTTTTCAACAACCCATGTTTGTCATAAGAGGTGACTAATGGGATCGGATGGTCAGGCTTGGTGACTTGGATGACACATGTCATCATATCACAGTTGTGTAAATCAAAGCTTGTGATGTCAATCACTGGATTGTCAGTCCAGACACGACAGTTACCATTAAGATCTTATAGCAGGAATAATACTGTGTGAGGTGTTAAACAACAAACAAGTGAGTGAGTAAGTTTTTATGCCGCTTTTAGCAATATACCAGCAATATCATGGTGAGGGACACCAGAATTTTCACACATTGTACCCATGTGGGGAATTAAGCTCGGGTCTTCGGCATGACGCTTTAATCATTAGGCTTCCCTGTCGCCCCCAAAAATTACCAAACAAACCAAAAAACACCTGTCGAGGGACATTAGACTAGAATTTCCATATTCCTTGCTTTGCTGCTAACTAAATGTATATCATGGTATTTGCTGGACACTTGCAGGTACCTGGATTATGGAGAGACTAAATGGAGAGCTCAAGCTGAGGAATGTCTGGCGTCAATGAAGACATTCCACGATGGGGTTCGCAAGAATTTCCAGGCTACACTGGAATGGCTGCATGAGCATGCCTTCTCAAGGTCATATGGCTTAGGTGAGTTACCATCACCAAGGATTTCACAGCAGAGCTACCTCAAACACCCATGGAGATTCTAGGTTAAGATGAGTGCTGGTATTCGCTTACACTGACTGACTGAGTTTAGTTTTACAATTTTAGTTTTCTTTTAGCAATATGCCAGCAATATCACGGCGGGGGACACCAGAAATGGGCTTAACACATTGTGCCCATGTGGGGAATCGAACCCGGGTCTGCGGCGTGAAGAGCCAACGCTTTAACCACTAGGCTACCCCACCGCCCGGTATTCGCTTACAACCTGCGATACGATACATCACGATACTAAAATGTTTGTCACGACATATATTGCCAAAGTATTGATAATAATTAAGCAGAATTTGTGAATGTTGATAACATGCGAGGGCTCTGTCTTGACATATGAATCAGATATCATCGCAAGGATAATCGCTTGATTTGGCAATATCAAAGATACATATCATCCGCGATACTAAAATCTTAAATTCCTAACAGCAGCTTTTATCCAATCAGGTTTCTATAAAACACCTGCAGAAAGATCAAAAACAAAACTATTTTCAAAGCCACTGCATGATTTCTTTTTCAACGTTCACTAGTCCATTCGGAAACAAGATACTCATTCTCTTTCTTTGTAAAGTTATACACAGAATTTGTGAATGTTGATCGCGCTAAGAAACAATGCCAGATCGCCCCACCCTCACCGCTCACCGTTCTCAATCGCCTCCTGACTTAAGATTTTATGGAGGCTTCGCCGATTCCTATTTATCTACGAGAACGTTAGAAGGCTTTTAGGGGAGCTTCCCTCACCCAGTTTAAGTTCTCATGAGGCGTATTGTGCAGGGTGGTAATGACGATATTCTCACGCCAGACCTGCGATCTACATTATCTCGTAGGTCTGCTTCTTGAGCGATCACAGACTTCGAGAACTTCTAAGCATTCATCGTTGAAGCGGGATCGGGCGCTGTTGGAACGTACTCCGCTCTCCTCTATTTCCACGCTGGGAGGAGTCGTTCTAGGTCTCGCTTCACTTTCCCGAAGCCGCCTCATTATGGCTAAAACCGCTCACACAGCCGAAGCCGTCTCATTATGCGAAACGGCTCACATGGTCAGCCGCTCACCAGTACATCTTCAATGGGTTCACCTGACCGAACTGATTCACGAATCAAATGGGTTCACCTGACCAAACTGATTCACGCATCAAGAAGGGTTCATACCAGGACGGAACGGGTTCACATTCCGACTCAGTTCACCTCAACATAGGTTTCTGTTCGACACACCATCAGCGCTTTTGATTCGTCTTCGAAGTCGCTCAGTCTCGCCTGGTCGAGGTGGTTGGCCATCGATCCGTTTCACCTAGCCGTAAGGTGTGTTTTCGCCAGAGTGATTCTCGAAGTCGGTCTCATTCACTTTAGGTGAATCAGGATATCCCGCCTTGTCAGTCTAGACTCAGTAGCGTAATTTTTGGCAGCACACTGTAACAATATTTACTTCCTCGGATCCCCAATCGTCATGTTCCTGGAGCAAAACGTTGTCGAATGTGCTCCCTTATTAAGGACGCTTTTAGAGCATGTAGACATACTTGCTCCCGATGGCTGGCAGACAGAGCTCGTTACACTTCAACAGTTGATCACCCGACAAACCCCGCTTTTAACGACCGGTATTAATCCGCTGCCGTCCGCAGTTTCCCATGTCGGACGGTGATAATTTTATGGGCTTATCATTAGATGTCTCACCGTGGTTCCGCCATCAAAACGTTCTGTGTTGCCAGTTGACTCACACATCCGATCTATTTCAAATAAATCGCCGAACCGACTACGCCATCGAATCGGGTTCGCCATATACCTCAATGGATTCACCAGACCGAACCGCTTAGCCATACCGTAATGGATTCACCACACCCAATCGGTTCGCCATACCGGCGGGATTCGCACACCCAATCGTTCGCCATACCGTAATGGATTCACCACACCTAATCGCTCGCCATACCGAATGGTTTCACCAGACCGCAACATCAAATTGCCGTAACCGGTTCACCCGCCCGTGAATCGGTTCGCCATACCAAATGGATTCACCAGACTGAACCGATTCACCACACACCGAATGGATTCACCAGATCAACCGTTGGGCCACGCCCGTATGTGAATACCGACATTGACTCAGTTTGCCATAATATTAAGACCGTTTCTTATCGCGAAACAGTTCACATCATCGATTCAATTCACAGCAAAACGTAAACATTTCACCTCACTGGTTCATCTGAGCGTTCTAGATCTCTCCATCAGCTGAGATCATTTAACCGTTCGGATTACGAACCGATCCAGATCAGTCACCGATTCAGATCACATCGGACTGATTCAGATCACGCCAACTTTCCGCTCACCACCCTGAACTGATTTACCAGCCGCCGGCCGTATCGTTTCACCAGGTCGAAGCTCCCTATCGCCGAACCAGTTCACCTGGCCGTTCAAGATCAATGTACATAGGTAGTAGCTATGTGCTTCACCATGCCGATTTGATTTTACATGTGTTGTTAGTAGCGCAGTCATCTAGAGATACCACGCCGGCACTTGACGCCTGGCGATCCCAGTTCTCAAGAGTCCTCCGTGACCGGAGCTCATCTCATTCCAGATTTAATCTACCATCCGATCTTCACTTTTGATGAATGATTCAGTTCAACGATTCTACCCTTTCGTAGATATCAGTTCTGCAACCACCGATATGGTATAACTAGATACGCTTTGCGAGCCAGGAATACTATAATGACAGCCCGATGAGTCTTGTTACTACAGACTACCGTAACAGCGTGTTTGTGTATCACTGGAATTGCAATTGTTGCAGACAGCTCGTCATCTTCAGCTCCCTTTGTTTTACATGATAAGCAAGTTTCTGGACAGATAACAAATGGATGAAGTTCTTTGCATGGTACCGCAATGTTTTGTCAAATAGCCAGCATAGCTCAGCCCGAATTTATGGTTATGACTCTCCCGGTTAACTAAAGACCATGTTGTCCGTGATGTTTTGTCACTCGTGTGTAACGCTTTGCAAATGGCGGACTACTGTTTGTTTACCGGAATTTTGATGATTAGAGTGCCTATGAAGTGCCCTTGCAGAATTCTCTTGGTCCCAATCGGATACCAAGTCCAGCCTATAAATGCAAGTAACAACGAACGCTGCCATTCCTATAAGAGTGACTGTGTCGATTTTGACAGCCAGTCGAGAGAGACTGCTATTGAGGGTGACGGACAGAAACACCCGTGAACGGTTTGCCTAGTCAAGCACCGAGTTCAGAGGTCACTGCATTATGCAAGGATTGTCACCAGGCAGCGATCTACTACCTATATCACTCCACCTGGCGCACCATTATTTTGTTCGACCAAAAGAAACGCTCCTGAGGTCACCCGATCCTCACGATTTCTACAATTTGTTTATAATGTGAACGCCCTGTAGATTGACTGACAATCTCCATGCCGAACATATTACATTGAGCACTCCGCCAGAACTGACGAAGTTGCTCGATTTATTGAACGTTCTTATATCAGGAGATATCTTTTGTCAGAGGCAAGAGTGGTTAGACCTCTCATTTCCCTCGACCCGCGATGGCCGTGGGGTAGCCCTAGTGGTTAAAGCGTTGACTCGCCACGCCCACGACCTCGTTCGATCCCCCACATGGGCACAATGTGTTAAGCCCATTTCTGGTGCCCCCTAGCCGTGATTTTGCTGGATTATTGCTAAAGCGGTGTAAAACTAAACTCAGTCAGTCAGTCAGTCCTTTCGACCTGTGAGACGCCTACCTTCACATCCGGATACATCCAGATCTATTGGAAGTATCTTCAATTTACTTTTATGGGGCGTCATTGATACCAATGGAGGATCCTGCTGTATGGGCATATCGCGCAGCCCCGTGGGTTTTTACTCAGATACCCATTCTGTTAACCAGCTACCTGCATTGTCGGCTGACAATTGACAACAATATCGACGACTGTGTTCAAGCCCAGCAGGATCCAGTCGTCCTTCCTTTCCACAGACAGTTCATCATCAAGTTGCTCACGCCAATTAGGATGGCTGCTAAATTCGAGCAATCAGGGGTAACACCGACCGCTGTTTCTTCTTATTGGGACAATATTCAACACGCCAGATCATGATGTTTGTGCCCCAGGAGAGGTGGGACAAGATTCAGTGCAACGACCACTAGTGTTGGTCCAACCCACACCTTTTTCGCCAGTGGCAGAAGTTACTAGGGTGGTTGGCGCCGGCACAAGTGCTGACTCGACAGGGGCCAGCTGCAGCTTGCCCTCTTCAGATGGTTCTGTGCCCACATCGGGACGACAACCCCAGGAGTTGATTCGCCTTCCGCACAACTACATTCAGTCTTTTCGTTGGTGGCTCAACAAGTGGAATGTTTGTGTTGGAGTCTCTAGGTGCCCTTCATACCGACTCAACACCTATTTGTTGGCACATCTTTGCAAGCTGGGGGCCACTTTCTCCATCAAGTGGCCTAGCAGTGGTCATCAGGGAGAAAGGGCCCTTCATCACAACGGTTAATTGGAATTCAGCATTGTCATTATCGCATTTGTTCGGCACTCGACAACCATCAGCTTCAGCGCAGATGATCACCAGTTACATCGTTTCTGCTTTGTGTACAATCTGAATAAAATTCTGAATTTTATTTCTGATTTGTGTCTTCGATTCTTCTGGGACTTGTGAGTTTCGATTCAATTACCTTTCACTCTCCACGGACGGTGTCTGTGGGGTTGTGTCAAGCAGGGCTGGCCCGATACTGGTCGCCAGACCTTGGAAATCATGGTAATGCGACTGTTTACACTCGCTAAGCTGCGTCCTTTCACTTTCATGAAGGTAGTGACTGAACACCACATTGCTCGAATCCCGTCCCTGGAGCACTTGTGTTTAGTAAGTCAATGGGTTCGAACCGACCATTGCAGGTCTCGCTTTTGAGACGCTGGAGGGTCGCCACCTCACTTACTGTCCTCTGCTCCACGGATTAA